ACAACAAGTTCTAGATTAGCGAATTGATGTACTTCGGCAGTGTGTTGTCGAAGTATTTCTGGATCTTTTGTAGTTTCGTTGCAGTAAAAGCATTTATATTTGCCCTTGTGCCACATGAACGGTGTGACATTACTGTACTGTAAAACGTATTCTACATTACGTCTTTTTATCAATAGTTTACGTGCGGCCTCCATTTTCTTATATTTGTCCTCCACTGTATTGAATTTCGTACCTGGAAACAAATTCAGCCGTTACTTTGCTGGCTTTCTTACATTCTCTGATATGATCGGTATGGCGTGGGCTTCTGCAATTTTGCTAGAAGAAAGGTCCACTGGCGGTGTGCTGTTGTCACAATTCTTTACAGGGTTTTTAAATAGTTCAATTAACGTTAGTTTGTTTTCAAACAAGGTGTAAAAATTAAATTGTTTAAGTTAAATATAAAGAGATAAAGATAAGATAAAGAGTGTGTTTGTTAGTTTTTGTAATGTAAATCACGTAAGAAACGTGTGTTTTGGTTAAAAGATGTAGGTTTTAAGTTAGAGTAAGTTCTTTCTGTTTGAATTCAGACAAGTAATTTTTTAAAACAGGTATTCGTATTATTTGCCATTAATAATGCCGCAAAGAGAGTTCTTTGGAAAAAATGAAAATAGTTGAACGACGATGTTTATGAACTCCTTGCGTCGATTGAAATCAATCGAGTCAATTTGTCAAAATATTACTTACTCTATAAAACAATGAATTGAATATGACAATTATAACATAGTAATCTGATTCATTCAAAACTGAAAGGACTCTAAATATAACACGCATAATCAATATACTTTAACAAGTTCTACGATCATTCTGTCTCTTTCTCACCGCAACTTTAAATTGTCCACTACTAAACGTCGCTAAGTTCGCAAACCAAATCACTTTATTACGCAGCAAATTAGTTTTTTCTTCGAATTAGCAAATAACTACATAAAATAATATAAATTTAGTTTAGTTAGAAAGATGTGAAGAGTTTATGGAAGAAAAAATGTGATAATTTTGAATATACAAGCTTATTTAACTATAGCTTCATGTACAGGAAAATGTACATAAGGTGGACTTAATGCATTGAGCATTTTCTACCAGTCTGACATTTGCGTGATGCAGACACGAATACCGATGGCAGATACAAGAAGCAAGCAAGAAATTTAATTAAAACGTCAGAGTCTAATAATTGTGGGAGAGCCATGCTTCGGTACGAATGGGTCGGCTCGACCGGAGTTATACCGCGGCCTCACAGAAAACCGGCGTGAAATAACCACAGCGTTGTGTTTCGCCGTGTGAGTGAGGTTACCAGAGGCCCAATCCTTCTCCTCCCCAATCCCTAAACCTCCAAATCCCTAATCCCTAAAAGGTCGGCAACGCAGTCGTAACTCCTCCGTTGCGAGTGTCCATGGGCGGCGCTGATTGCTTACCATCAGGTAATCCATCTGCTCGTTTGCCGATCTACTACATAAAAGACTGAAGAAGAAAACCTACTATACAATAAATATAGGTACACAAATAATACCTACATCTTAGATTTAGACAAGAATTATAAACTATCTCAGGTTTGCATTGATACGATTCATCTATACTATGAACTTGAAACTTTGAGTTTATTCCTCTTAAATTTTTTTCAATTATCTAAGAAAGTCCCCTTCTTTCTGCAGAGAAGGATCAGGTGGTTTATAGAAACACAAAAAAATGCTTAAGATTATAATTTAAAATGAAAATGCATACATTTTTATATAAGTAGTTTATGCACGTGAATATCACATATTCCATAGTCTTACGATATAATAGTAAAAATTGATATTTTGATGGCGATTTCCCTTTTATATTAATTAATTACATTACCATTTTATGTAGAGGAGAATGACACGACATTTTATTCAAGTTAGAATCTGAAGCCAAACTTAATTTTTTAATTCGGTTTTGAAAATATTTTTTTATAACATCATCATCCTATAAGGGTCCTATGATGAGCAATAGCCTCAGCTCATACGGAGAAGGTTTGAGCATTAACCCGTTGAATGTCGGTTTATAAGACACAATAGAAAATACATTGTGTCTCGCGTGGATCTACGTTTAAGACATACGAAAGGTTAAACACCACGCTTGCTCAGAGACTGTTGGAGATTTAAAACTTATATTCAGAAATTATAAGTCCAGGTTTCCTTACGATGTTTTACTTCTCCGTATGTCAGTGGTGTCTTAAGACACTTGGAAAGTATTTAACATTTCAATCGTGTTAAAATGACACACAATAATAAGACAAAATGTTCGCGAACGCCGGCGTTCGCTTGGGGTTGGATGATTTAACCTACGGGTACCACGACAAGTTACACATATAATATAGCATTGCCATTGTAATTTCGTTTCTGAAACATTTTCTTAATTTTCATTAATTAACATAAAAGAGAATTCCCACCAATATGTACTCTATTCACATTTCATAATTGCTAATTTTATTTTATATTTTAATATATATTTATTACAATAATGGATAATGAGCATGGTTTTGATTTAAAAATATTTACACAATTATTATTAATCCTATAATTTTTTATGCTATTCTAACATTACTATATCATGACTTGGAGGTAAAACAATTTTGTAGAATATGGACAGTTATTTTTATGCAGGTAAGAAAACCGCACCTCAAAGAGCCAATACACCACCACAGATTCTGATGGGATCCAATAGGGCTATTTTTGTATGAGGGAAAAATCACTAAATGACTACTTCCAGCCAGACAGCTAGAGTGTCAGACTCTAACTGACTAAAAATCCTCAGTTCGTTCTCCTGCTCTAGGCAGAGGACGCGGTGCCTCATTGCGTTTACACCGCAACCCCGGCTGAACATCAGCCCTATAGGGGCCCGTCTGTGGTGGTCTATTGGGTCTTTGAGGCGCGCGCGGAACGCTACGCGCCATACGCTCGGGTCTGGTTTTGGTCGGGCGGCGAGCTACCCTTACTTGCCGTCCACAGTCCGCAGACTCGCGCATAAGACTAATATTTAGTCAGCCAAGATTGCGAGTGAAACGCAATTAGGTATCTATCGCGGCCTAGGCTTGGAGCAGGAGAAGGAACTAGGTGATTTTATGACGTCATTCGATGATTATAACCCGTCAAAAAAGGTAACAATATAAAGATTGATAAACATGGACATTGGATGGCAACCTATAACTGAATTGATTTGTTTTCTATGTCAAACACAAATAATGTTAAATGATCAGTACAATAAGTTAATAAAATATAACCAACCATACTTTGATTCATTAATATGCTGATATTAATGTATTTTGTTCAGCAGATTTTTCATAAATAAATAAGTTTCTTGTACCTACGTAAAAACATTATGACATTATATGTTGCGATTAGATGAAAAAGTTCATAGAAAGTGTCTTTTCTGAAAGGTTTTGATGGAGTATTGATTTTTTATTAAAGCCTAGATGAAAACTACCATATTATATTGTTTGTATGAAGCCATATCTTGTGGTTGGTGTTGGTTACCGTCTTTTTTTTACCTGCATACCAAAATAACTATGAAGATAACAATACGATTTTCAAAAAACCCACATGAAAGTTTATGGCTTCTTCAAAATAAATTGAATGTTTGAGTATTATTACCTAACTATTAAAGTGATTAAATGACTTTAAAACCTAATATGGACTGTAGAAGTTTATTTAAAATTGCATAACGCATTTGATCGATTTTAGACTTAAAAACATCACAACAGAAATGTCTACACGAATAAAAGTGTCTTGTTTTGTACAGCTGCCATTCTACATACTTAGTACAACTATGGATTTTGGTGATGTTCACATAGCCTACGCTGTCACGACTAAGGGTCCCGGTCGGGCTCGAAACTAGTCGGACATGCTATACAAAAATTATAAAAAAAAATGGGATGCAATTATAATAAAGCTTAGTTGCTCGATTACTTAATCAAAACTTGGCGTATACATAATTTTGGCTTAATTTATATATAACTGATTTGATAAGGATAAAAAACATATCCCGGTATAGCTTATTAAAGACCAGCCTCTACAATTCTAAGGGTCTGTCTCAAAAGCCACTATGTACCAAATAAACTTTAGTATAACAATGTTATTTGTATGAACTATAAAACACAAAAGTTTATCGGGAACTTACACGAAGGTTTCAAAACAGGCCCAAAACAGTAAAAAAATAAAACGAGATCACATATAAATGCTAGGATATGAAAGAAGTGAAGAAATATAAATGAACTAGGGTATAGTATATCGTATGCTATCTTAATGATTATAACAGATATGAGAGCTTTAAAACAGTAAAAATTATTCCTTAAACATTAAGGACAAAGTCAGAACTGCAATTTTAGGTTGGAATGCCAATAATATAATCTAAGGATGTGCTTGTGGTATTTTAAAATTAATATGTATGTCAGTAAAACGCATAGCTACATATTTTTAATCACATTATAATTATATTTGAGAAAGATTGTACCGATACATTTCATGTAGATACATTAATAGTACTTTTATTGGAAAAAAAGACAAGGGTTCTTAAAAAAACGTTAATTCACTAACAAAATCGTAAAAATAGAACCGTGGAACTTATGCAAGGGCCTTTTACGTCTGAATAACCACTATATATACTAGATAAACGGTTATTGTGAAGCCTAAAATAAAATTCAAAAACAGTGTAGATGTTTTTCTAAGGACCTTTCATGTCTGAATAGCCACTATACATACATATATCTAACAGATAAATTTGAAATGAAACCTTAAGTTTTACGGGAAGTTAGTTTGTTTAGGGCTGTTGTTTCAATGGTTGAATGGTTAGATAAAAGTTATCTGCGGAATAATTATGATGCTGTCGCGTCAGAATGTTTGTATAAGACAGTGGCAGTAACAATTTTATTCCTCAGATAACATTTATCTGACAATTGAAAAACCAGACCTTAATCTGCAGATTACAGTTAATATTACAGTACTGTAGGAAGTCCAGTCGAGGAAGGCTATAAGGCTATAAAACATCACGCATCGACCAAAGGGCGTCCAGAAGCTAGTAAAACCCCGTCGAAGTAGATCAATAATAAAGTAGGACTGTAAACACTATATTTGCAACGGTATATGGCCATATTTCTTATGCATCTCCATATGCGAACTCAAATTACTCTTTCTTAAAAAGGCTTTACCGCAAACTGTACAGTTAAATTTTCTATCCCCCTCATGTTTTACCATATGCATCCTCAATAGATAATTATCGAAAAACTTCTCATTGCATATGGAGCATGGAATATTTTTTTCTTTCAAATGCGTCCTCCTTACATGATCCTTCATAAAAGAGTTCCTAGTGAACATCTTCCCACAATAACTGCATTTATGGCCGACATTATGGATTTTGATCAAGTGCTTTTGCTTATGATACTGAGATTGGAACTGTTCCGGACACTTTGGACACTTATAGTCTTTAGCGTCGTGAGTTTTAGCTCTGTGTCGACCTAAACACCATTGATTTTTGTATTTGACCCCACAGATATCACATTCGCATGATCCAGTATGCGCATATGTTATATGCACCTTTAAATTGGCAGCGTTCCGAAAACTGCGACCGCAAAAATCGCATATCCTATTATTATTGCTATGTTCCGAATTCATATGTCTTAGAAGTATACCGAAATACCTAAAAACTGTATTAGGACATATTGGGCAGGGCATATTGTCCTTTATGACCCTAAAAGGTTCCAAACAGCCTTTTATTGACGTATCGTAATTCGCTTTATGTTCTGCAATTAAATGGCTTATCAAATCGTCCAAATTAGACATTGGGATGCAGCACAGCTTACAAGCTAACGTCGATATATCAATTTTGACTGTAGTCCGTTCCCCCTTACATTTCTTCATGCTTTTAGACTTCAATTCGCAAACTGGGTGTTCTAAATTAGTATGAGTCTTTAATTCATCAAATTCAACGAATTTTTTCGAACAATAAAAACAGAAATATTTGGCGAAGAATTTGAAAGGCACCGCTGTCGACATGTTTAATACGCACTGTATATTTTGTCTGATTTGTAGAACGTTCTGCTTTTTAACTGGTTCCGCTAGAGTATCGTTGGACACCTGAGGCTCAACTTTGGACAACATTTTTACTTTGCACTTGCTCAAATGTTGATTCAAACCTAATGTAGTGTGAAATTCTTTGGAACAATAGGAGCATTTTAGACTATTTTGAGAATGATCGACCTGTATATGCTTTTGTAAAAGGGAGAGGGATCCAAAAGAGGACCCGCAGCTCTTGCACTGTCGAAAATGGGTGTTATTCTTATGTTTTCGCAATTGAATGTAATTTTCAAAATTTTTTAGGCATAAATCGCACGGATAACCTCCTTGGCGATGATAATTCCTAAGATGGAGAGCCAAATCTCTTTTCTTATTGAAAGTGGCTCTACAATGATCACAGATGAAGCAATTTTGCGGATGAGCTGTATTTACATGTTTAACCAAGTATCCGAAGTAAGAAAACTGTTCCTCACAATGCAGACACCGAAAATCTACTAATCGATACTCTTGGAATGGTATATCGATGTTTTTATTGTAATCAAAGTCATGTTTAACTATCAAATGATCGATTATTTCTTCGAATCGATTAAACGGTTCATTGCATATCTCGCAACCAATTTCTGAGACGTCAATCTTAATTTCTACGTGATTTCCTTTGATGATTTTGAGTGAATAATCTTTTGTGGTACAAAGGCCATGTGATTTCGTATGTTTCCGAAACTCTGGGTATTCGGTATAATTTTGGCCGCAGTAAAAGCAAAGATATTTGCCTCTCCATTTGAATGGCATTATAGTTGTGTGGTTGAAGAGTATTTTCAAGTTTTGACGTCGACGCTCAGAGGTACAGCCTTCGTACCGTCCTGGTAGGCAATCTGAAAATAAATGTTTCTTCTCTATAAATCTGCTGTTAATTTCAATCTCCCATTTCGGATACTTGGTTAGTTCGCGTCGACAAGCACATGCCGTTTGTTATGTTAACTCGTACGTATAAATATCTGTATCATTCATCTTTTCTATATAATTATTGTCATTAAAAGACATAGAAGGGAAGAAACGTATAGGTAAAATAACAGAAATACTCCTAAATAAGTTAAAATCGTAACAATTAATAAACTGTCCAAACATAACAAGAAAAATGTAACAAAAAATCATCAGAAAATGTTAGGTGATGTTGCGAGCGTTGACTGTGCGAATGTGGGAGGTCATGTGACCTCTGAGGTTGCGTTTCCATAGAAACTTTTTGCCGCAAATATCACAATGAAAGTTCCTCTCGCCAACGTGTTTGACCATATGCATTTTCAGCCTCGCACCGTCGAAAAACTTCTCGAAGCACACCGAACATTCTACATTCTTCTCTTTCAAATGCGATCTCCTAACGTGGTTGACCATAAAGGAATTTTTCGTGAAAAGTTTATCGCAGTAAGTGCATTTATGCCCAGTACTATGAGAATTAATCAAATGGCGTTGCATGGCGTATTGGGAAATGAATTTCTCCGAGCATTTGATGCATTTAATATCTTTAGTTCCGTGTACAGTGCCCTGATGTTTCTTTAACGCAGGTTTACTATGAAAAACGAGTTCACAACTATCACAGTCAAACTTCTCTGTCATATTATGACGTCGAGCAATATGTCCACGAAGATTGGGGTCGGTGCGGAACGATTTACCGCAGTACATGCAGATGTGCTTATTATTATTATGGCTAGCACTAACATGCTTGAGTAAAACGCCAAAATATCTGAAACTTTCATCGCAAATCGGACAAGAGTAATCGTCCTTAATCAGTTTGAACGGTTGCATGTTATTTTCTACAGACGCGTGGCAGTTAGCTTTATGTTCTTTGCTCAAATGCGATATCAAGTCTGGCAAATCTTTTAGTGGAACAAGGCAGAGCTTACAAGTCAGTTTCGAAATATCAATTTTGATCAGAACCCCGTCGTATTTATTCTTCAATTTCATTGCTTTGAAGTTGATATCGCAAACAGGATGTTCCATTATCGTATGGTGTTTCAAATCGTCGCTTAAGGTAAAGTCTTTTGGACAGTAGAAGCATCGGAACCTATTCATATAGTACTTGAACGGTAAAGCCGTAGTCATGTTAAAGATGCAAGCTAAACTGATCCTTATTTCTTTTACAGTTATCTTATTATCCTCATCTTCAATTACTATTGAATCTTCACTGGGATTTAGCTTGCACTTAGAGGCGTGTCTTAAAAACGCCTGTTTTGTAGTTAACACCTTATCGCAAAATCCGCATTTGTTTTGATCCATATCATGTTCAGATTTGAGGTGTGCCAACCTCTTGCTCTCAGACGAGAATGTCTTAAAACAGATGTTACAAGTGCATGAATGAGAATTGGATAAATGGTTCTTCAAGGCCGAACTCGAAGGGAACTTATCATCGCATTTGTGGCAATCATAAGACTCTTTGTGGTAAGAACGCATATGGGACCCCAGATCCCTTTTTTTATTGAACTTCTGTTCACAACGCGGACAAGGAAAGCAATTATCCGGATGCTGATTGTTCATATGAATTATTAATTTCCGAAAGTAATTGAAGCTTTTATCGCAAACAAGACATTGGAGATCGACCAATCTGTACGCGGATATGAATATTTCAACTTCTTTGTTGTATGGTAGGTCATGTTTTTTGATCAAATGGTTGATAATTTCGTCTAAAATTGGGAAGCTTTCGTTGCAAATCTCACACGTGATATCGGAGACATCGATTTTGATTTCTATATCTGATGATTTAACTAATCGGATAGCTCTGTCCTTGTCATTACAAGGTCCGTGATCTTTGGTGTGTTTCCGTAGATTTTCGTGGGAGTACGTATCGTCGCCACAATAAAAACAGAGGTATTTGCCCCGCCATTTAAACGGTACCAAAGTGGTATTGTTGAGCAATATTACCAGATTCCTTCTCCTTAGAAAATTATCACTGTGCTTTTTCTCCTTATTGTTTGAATCTGAAAAGAAATTATTATTCTTTGTATTTTTTATAGAGCAATTTATTATAGCAGACGAAATGGGTGAAAATGAGTTACTTTTTCACCAGTCAAATGGCAGAAAAGCTTATGATTCGTATAGAGAACTAACCGTACCTTTCAGACGTTAGTTTAACCTTAGGAGGTTTCGTTAACGCGTTGGCGAATCGAAATACTTATATATAAATATAGAAATAGATTTCCCAAGATAAACAATTGGTGACGAGACGCATGCCCAGAAAATTGAAGGTTCCATTTAGTGTAAACATCAGCACAAATGACCAAAATCCATAATCAAGTTACTAATAAATAATTTACTAAAACGTTACACTATTAATACAACTACGAAAGTAAACCTTGACAATAATATTTTAATAAATAGGTAGTAAAAATGTATAAATATGGCACTTAAATATAAGATCCTTTGTACAGAACCCAATTTTGTCGGTCAAACATGACCATCATGACAACAATTGACCATCAAAGACGCAAAAAAGTCAGGCAATAAATATAAAATAAAGAAGTTAAGAAAATATTCAGATTTTCTTATTAAATTCGGACAAACCAAATATGGTATGTTTTACATTTGAGCAGGATTCAAGTGCTTAGTATGCCTAGCCATATGAGTCCTAAGACTTTTCCTCCAGAAAAACCTCTCACCACATACATCACAATGAAAATTTTTCTCCCCACTATGTTTTACCATATGCCGTCTCAAAAGAATATTATTAAAGAACTTCATATTGCAGATAGAACATTCAACATTTTTCTCTTTCAAATGTGTCCTTCTGACGTGATCTCTCATAAAAGAATTACGTGTGAAAAGCTTCCCGCAGTATGAGCATTTGTGTCCCGAATTATGGGCTTCTATTAAATGTTTCTGCCTTAAATATTGCGTAGTGAAGGTCTCTGAGCATTTTGGACATTTAGCCGCCTTAACGCCATGCGCCCGAGCCATATGCATGTACAATCGCGAAGGTATGTTGCACTCAGCACCACATATATTGCACTTAAACCTGCCATCCCTATGATGCCTCCAAATATGAACGCGCAAATTTTGATCCCTACGAAAAGTTTGGCCGCAGTAAACGCAAATTATATTATTGTTAGTGTGTTTGTTATTCATATGTTTTAGAAGAGTCCCGAAGAATCGGAACACTTCTGATGGGCAGTTTGGGCACGCCATATGATCTTTGATCAGTCGGTACGGTTGAAGACACGTTGTAATCGATTTATCGTAATTCGCTTCGTGTTTTCCAATCAAATGATCGATAAGATGGTCTAAATCGGTCATTGATTCGAAGCAAACTTTGCAAGCCAGCGACGATATGTCTATCTTGACGCACGCGACCGATTCTCTGCATTTTCGGATACATTTTTGTTTGACATCGCAAACTGGGTGTTCCAAAACTGTGTGTTCCCTCATCAAATCCGAATCGGGAAAGTCTTTAGAGCAATAGAAGCAATTGAATTTATTTTTATAGAAATTAAAAGGTATCGCTGTAGACATATTGAGGACTATGACAATATTTTCTCTGATCTGTTTTACGCTGGGTCTTTTAACTTGATCGTCGTAATTTTGGTCTAAATCCATAGCAACGTATTCTTCTTTCTTGATGGCGATTTCGAAAATGTCTTCCCCTTTGCATTTTCTGTTGTGCATTCTCAGTCCTTGTTTTGTATGGAACTCTTTAAGACAATTGTCACATTGTAAAGACCCGTCGTCGGGGTGTTCTAACTCAATATGCTTTTGTTTTAACGCTGCGGATGGTAGCTTTAAATGGCAAATATTACATCTAGTCAAATGCCTATTATTCCTGTGTTTCCGAAGAATGTTTAAGGAGCTAAATGTTTGAGGGCAGAGTTCGCACTGGTAGCCACCTTCGCGGTGATAATTTTTCATATGGGAGAATAAGTCCCTCTTTTTATTAAATTTCTGGTTGCATTTATCACAGATGAGGCAGTTTTTCGGGTGATTGTTGTTAACATGGGACACTAAATAGCCAAAGTATGTGAACTTCTCGTCACACCCAATGCAGCTGAGATCAACCAATTTGTATTCTTCTATAGCCATTTCTACATTTCTGTCGTATTCCAATTTATGTTTAACGAACAAATGGGTTACAACCTCATCGAAAGACGGAAATGGTTCTGAGCAGATTTCGCAAGTAATGTCTGATATGTCAACTTTGATCTCCATATTCTGTCCGCCTTTTAAGACTTTTAAAGAATGGTCTTTTATGGAACAATCCCCATGGTCTTTTGTGTGCTTCCGTAATTCCTTGTACTCTGCAATATCTTTGCTGCAATAGAAGCATAAATACTTCCCTCTCCACTTAAATGGTATTATTGAGGTGTTGTTGAAAATAATTTGGAGATTTCGTCGCCTTCTCATGGACGAGGATTCGGTGCCGTATTTCTTCGTTTTAAGACCTGAAAAGAAATTTTTCTACTATAAATGTACCCTTGATATTAAATAGTACAACCAGGTTCATACAAAATATTTGTTATATGAAAAAATAGTTCACAAATATAATTTTTAAGTAGGGTACATTTAAAGTGTGGATAATAGTACATTGTGTAAACTTGGCGTAGACACATGTAGATGTACATTGTAGCCAAAGCTTTTAGGTTAAATCAAACTGTCATTGAGATTGAAAAAAATACTTTTAAAAATCACGTTTTTCCGAAAAAAAAACCTCTAAAACCACCGCATATTTTGTAACACAATGAAACTCTAAAAACCAATGATTTCGACTAACCATATTCTAAAAATTCCGTACTTACTAAAAATGCGTAGTCCCTAAGAACTAATCACAGAAGAGTAGTTCGTATTTCGAGTTTTGATTTTGAAACAAAGATTGATAAATTGTGGCTTTTCCGACTTACAAGAATTGTATGGATTATACTTTCTATGATTATTCAGTCACCGCTCACATATGGTGAAGGAAAACATCGTGAGGAAATCTGTACCTATAATTTCTAATTATTATAAGTTTGGATTCCCCAATCCGTCTTGAGCGATCGTGGTGAGTAACGCTCACCTTCTCCGCGTGAAAGAAGGTCTGTGCTCAGCAGTAAGCATTTAGAGGTTGATAGAAGAAGAAATGAGAAACTAAGGATGTCCAGATAAGCAACCGATGAATTGAACCAAAAAATAAATTGGTTTTTAAAGAAATTTCAAATTGAACCTTCACTTTTAAGGAATACCTCATTACTTATTTCTGAAATACAGAATAAATAAGAAACAAAATTTAAATTGAGTAATTTTATTACAATTTATAATCGGTACAATCTGTACAATACTATATGACATATAAATCCTTGCCTACGAATTCGTCTGCAAGACTTATAACCGGTTTCCGCAAGCCCGACCAATGTTAAAATCAACTAACTAGGTGTCAAATCTCTTGTCAAGTCATCTGATTGGTTGTTGATAATTCTGTCAACCAATTCGATGACAAGAGATAAAATTGATTTTAACATTGATCGGCCTTTCGGAAACCGGATGTTAATCACTACTTACCTAGTATAAAACAAAGTCGCTTTCTCTATCCCTATATCCCTATGTACGCTTAAATCTTCAAAACTACGCAACGGATATTGATGCGGGTTTATATGTATGTATAGTAATATCATTAAAAAGTGGAGAAGTTTAGTATCATCTTTACTCCCGTGCGAAGTTAGGGCAGCTCGCTAGTAATGAATACACCTTTCCCTTAAATATTACAATCTATTAAAAAAAACCGCATCAAAATCTCCCACGTGGTTTTAAAGATCCTAAGAATACATAGAAACGGACAGAGAGAAGCGACTTTGTTATATACTACGAGTATGTAGTAATAGATCGTAATAGTAATAGTCAGATAAATGTTATCTGAGAAATAAAATTGTTGCTGTCACTGTCTTATACAAACATTCTGACGCGACAGCATCAACATTATTCCATGTAACTTTTATCTAACCATTGAAAAATCACCTCTAAAGCATTTATTATTTAGTTTATTATTCAAAAAATATAGCGTTATCTCCATACGGAGAGCAATTAAATCGATGCTTACTTTTAAGAATTTTGGTAAAAAAATCGTTACTAAGGAAAAGTTTTAAGTAATCATTACACGTCTCTAAGTATAGCAAAAATATTGATAATAAAAAGCCTCTTTCTCTCTCTCTTCTCTCATCTTTGAATTTGCTGAAAAATAATTAATTCAGACATATTTGTAAATTTTATAGCCCCAAAAGCTTAAGTATTTTTAATAAAGTTAATTTTGCAAATTGTTCAATTTAAGATGTCGTTTATTTGGGTACGGACAAGAAAGGAAATGATTCTGTTTTCATACATATTTTGTGGTCAAAAATTAAGAAAAACATAATGACACATTCATATAGAATATGTCTGGCCAATTCATTTCTTGTTTTGGCACCAAAGCTGATGTATCAGGATTGTAATGTTTATATAAGTGTAAAAAACGATATAGTTTTCTACAATTGGGTAGTTTCCTAGGTCAAAAATAAATTAATTTGACGTTTCAATACAATAAAATATTGAAAAATAACTATAGTTTTATTCATCGATCGATCAATACACTATATTTTAGATTTTTTTTTAGCATTTTTTTATAAAATAAGTAAGCTATTTGACGTAAAAATACTATGACGTCATAACTCAGTATTTCATACAAATTTCATAGAAAAGTACCGTTTTTGACATTTGGATAATAGTATTGAATTTGACGAGATGAAAACTACCGTATTTAAAAAAAATACCATTGTCTATTTTTAAAATCAGAAAGAAATACTAGATCTAAATCATACAATGCATGTTGCATGTAAGTACCTAAGAGAAGAATTGACCTGGTCAAAAATAAATGATTCATACCTGTCATACGTTTTTCAAATCATATGACACTGTCAAAGTCATATAAGAACCAAAAATAAACCCCTTTGTACAATTAACTTAATTTTCGTAATCATCTAGTAGAATTTTATGAAATAGGTAAGCTATTTAAGCCAAAGAAAAACCATTGACATTTCCGTAAAAAACCTAAGAAAAAAACTACCTATCTTGACAATAATAAAAACTACTGGATATAGTTATCAAATAATTTAAGCTTTTCTTAATTTTAAAATAATAATAATTGCATTTTCTTCCCAAATAAAGTTACTTATTAACTAATCTTTTCTTGAATGATTAATTGCTAAGCTAGCTAGTCTTTATTTTCCGTAAAAAACATTCATATTACAGCGTTTGGGTATTAAAATACCTATTCAAAAACTATCACACTTCATTTTTTCATTTCTAGCAAATTTTTCGTTACAAGTATATTTCTCAAAAAACAAAATCGATGTAACAGAATACATATAAACTTTTATACAAAAGTATTGAATTTCACTACTTGTCAAATACCTTATTCGTTGGAAATAAGACCTATAATCCTCTAAAAATAAGCTAGTATGTAGGTTTTACTGTGTTTCCTGGTTTCACCAGCGATTTCGTTCTCAATATCAAGGAAAAGTAGCGTACGTGATGTTGTTTTGTTATTTCGTTTATAATATGTACATCTCTGTGCCAAATTTTATTCGACACTTTCAATAGTTTTTACTTCAAAGCATAACAAACCTCCATCCTCACAAACTTTCTTGTGTATTAGTAGGATATGCACCCTTTTTTTTGAAGTGAATATCATTATATGACCTCTCTCTTGCCCAGTCTGTCGGACTCTTACTGACTAAAAACCCCCCGTTCCTTCTCCTGCTTTAGGCCGTGGCTGTGGTACCTAATTGCGTATGCACCCAAAGCTGCCGTGTCAGTAAGTGGTTGCGTCAGTTGGAAGGTGATGATGCCGTGGCGTCTCTAAGTCACTCCTCAAAGAGGGGTCTAACAGTGTTAATTCATTTGAGACTCACTATGCTGCATTTTCATATGCAACTTCAAGCTACAATTATGAGCAAAACTTTTATTACAAACACTGCACACAATCTTCTTGCTAGAGCTATGAATCTTCTCATGTTCTTTCAGAGTCCGCTTACGTGCATACGACTTCTGGCAAACTTCACACTGGTAAACCCTATCACCAAAATGTTTGATCATATGATTACGAACGTGGCTTTTCGAAAAGAACTTCTGTTCGCATATAGAACAGGAAAAATTCTTCTCTCTTATGTGCACTTCTTTTAAATGGACCTGCATTTTGCTTTGTATGTGGAATTTTTTACCGCATACCGGACACGGAAACTCTGGCGCTTTGACATCGTGCTCAGACATATGATGCTTCTTTCTCTGAAGGTAATTCTGAAAGGTTTCCTCGCAATAAAAACATTTTAGAAGCTTGTCTCTATTATGGACTTTTGACTCGTGATTATTCCTCTGAGTTATGGAGTCAAAAGTTTCTGGACAAAGATTACAGCGGAATTTTTGTCCGTGCGTCAAAGAATGGCATCGCAAACGATCCTGACTTAGGAACGACTTGCCGCAAGCTTCGCAAATATAGTTTCCGTAATGCTCATTCATATGCTGGTTCAATTTGGAGAAATACTGAAATTCTTCTTTACAAACAGCGCAATTATAGACCTCATTGTGCAGAAAATAGGGTATAAGACCGTATCCATATTCCTCATTGAATGTAACACTATGTTTTTCCTTCAAATGTTTTATTAAAAGGTCCAAGTTGTTGAGTTTTTCGTTACAAAGTCGACATTCGACGAAGGAGACATCGATTTTGACTTTTTCGTCTCTTCTCAGGTAGGAAACAGCGGATTTGATATTGGATTTCGTGTGTGCGGTTGTGGTATGTTCCTTGAGCAAGTTGGTGTCGTTAAATGAAAAATGGCAGAAGAAACATAGGTAGTTATGCCTTTGCCATTTGAAGGGTATAACGTTGGAAGATTCTAGAACAGTTATTGCGTTTCTCTTCATGAGTTTGTTGCGCAGTGTCGAGGAGATCGAGGGCTTACTCGGTGCCTCAGTTGCGCACCGTTTCTCACCTAAAAATTGAAATTTTCGTATGAGATCTCCTTCTTCTCTGACTTTTTGCACTTGCAAGGCTTCTTTAAGCTCTTTATTTTCGTGATACAAGCATCGCAGCATTATTATTTTCCTTTAATAACTGTTTTTATGACGCTTTTCTTTAAAATCTTGTTTTTATTTTACATCTTTTTTTCTAAGAAATTATCCCTCATCTTTATCACCAAATATAGTATGTCAATAATAGGTACTAAAAATATGACTCTTAAGAAGATTTTATCAATAAATTTATCAAAAAATACTCTTATGCCACAGAAGAATTAAAAAAAAACAAAATCAAATTTATTAGGTAACTCGGTAAAACTTTAGATTCCGTAGTATTTATAAGGAATGTAGGTAAATATGCCACAAGAGGGTTATTCAAATAATAAATGGCGTTGGAAAAGTTTCGGCACTACCTAATTAATTATGCTGGGAAACAAAATTTAACGATTAAGTAATAAAATTGTATCATACATTTTTAATAGTAGCTATCTATCGTGAGACATAGGTACTATATTTTTTAGCTTCTATCTCTAATAGTTATCGCTTATGTTAATCGCAAAATGTGTTAGTAAGCGCACAACTCAAAAACGGCTAGGCCAATTTTGATCAATTCTTTTTTGTTGTGATTGTTATTGTTGGGTAGGTAGTAGGGCGGACTGCTAGTTTTTAATACACGTTTACTGCGTTGAAAAAATGTTTAACCTCTTGTTACGTTGACTCTACAACTCTCTCAATAGTTTTTGGACTATAATGAAATAAAAAATGACCATTTCCTTGTACCTACGCGCTTAAATAATGACAAATTCCAAGCTGAGTAAACCGAATTCTTCTATGTATATTATATACAAATTGTTCGCTATAAAAAATGTGTTGGAAAGTGCAAACCTCGAAAACAGCAGAACCGATTTCGATAATCCTTTTTCTTGTTGTTGTTGTTTGTTATAGTCAATTTTCAGGAGAAGGTTCTTATAAAAGATATGTTCAGAAATTAACAGGGGGATATTGGTAAAGAGTAGCCTTCACGACACTGTGGTGGTTGACTTAATAGTCCACTATGGTACAAGTGTGTGATATTGGTGATAGGGTCTTAAGGAGCCTAGGACGGTAATCATCAATACACACATGTATCATACGACGTTTTTCAACATACTTCTGAATAAAATAATACTTAAATAAAAAACTTTAAAAGAGGAAACGAGCCGAGTTGTGAAAAGTTTGACGTAATGGCGGGAAAAATTAATCAGTTTTCATGATGCGCGCGCATCGGCCATAGACAAAAAAATAATGTTTCTTTTTTGCTGATAGTATTTTAAAGCAAGTGTAAGCGTAATTCAATCAATAATTTAAAAAAAGGAATTCTATAACTCACTCGTAAATAATAGTAATGAAAAATTCACAGTTTGGTAATAGGTGTCATTACGTGCCTAATTGCCGTGAGTTTAGAGCCACTTCATGAGAAAATGTGTTGAAAAAAATATATTATCTATAGACAAAAATATGTTATATTTATGACCTACATTCTTAGCTTTGTTATGGTGTATAATTTACTACATGTAAATAAGGGAAATACGAATATCTTCATGTTTTCTAACCTAAGTCGTAATGAAAAAAAAAAACATTCCAATAATTTCTCGATCACAAGGCTTCGCGCGCGCGGTAAGCCGTTCGCTCCATGGGTAAAAGCACCAAAAACGGTTCGCGTAATCCATATTGCAGATAAATTTAAATTGTTTAGAATTAATAAGTTTTAAAGTCATCGAAATAGTTCAAATGAGCAGTGTAAATTCAAATGGTCAGCGAAATAATTAAAATCGAGATACAAATTAGAAGGACAATATTTCCGATACAAGTCTATTGTCAAACAAAAACAAAATCATGTTTTAATAGTTCTTTTTATGAACACGCGGTCTCGAAAACCGCTGGACAGATAACCGTAAATTCACGAATTGAAATAAAATATGAATAAGTTGAGATTCATATTAGAAATATTGTCAGAATAATGATGCAGCATGCTATGCTTTTTTAAATTTATAAAAACCTAAAACCTATTTGGCTTCTAGCCGGAACAAAATTTCAAATAGAAGTCTGATTACTATAGTTTCTTTTCTGTGTCCAATAGATGGCGCTAAACTACTATAAAACAAATAGCCAATCACTGTAACTGTCGAAATTTGTAAGTCTATTGGCGTGGCATTAGCTTATTCCCTATTGGACGAGGTTCTCACTGGCGCCATCTTTTGAGGACAATCCGGTAGCCAGATTATTACAATGTATGTTTGCACCTATGCAGTGCAGTATGCGGCTGGGCAACTGAACGCACGGAACTATTTAATCTACAAATTGTTTTTTTGGGTCTGGGTGTGATGTATTTGAAATTGTATGTTTACACAACACAGGAGAAAACCCTGGGCAACATTTTTACTTGAAGAAAAAACCGGGCATAAACTCCTTACATTTCTAGAATTTAGAAAAGCACAGCATACCACTCTCTATTAGGGCAAAACAGTGACCTACCTTTACTAACAGCTTTTGAAGTTTTCGGCTTGTCATCGGCCTTGGCAACTTTGGCCCGTTTCTCCGGTTTGAGGGGCGTGGCCTTACGGGGCCGGCCTCTTTTCCCTTTGATAGGTAACGCTGTTACTGTAATATCAGATACCGAGGCCTCCACTGATTCCGAGTCTTTTAGCAAGTCATCTGAAAAAGATTTTTAAATAAAGAATATATTATTGTTACTGATTTATTTTAAGGGCGGGGCAAGAGGAAGTATCGGACAGAGTCTGACTTAAAACCACCCCATCCCTTCCTGATCTTTCACATGCTCCAGGACTTTAAGAGCTTCAAATCCTGAACCATAGACCTTCTCTACTCATATGGGATTTATCAAGATCTTCCCAAGGTTCATTTTGAGAGTTACTATTCCACTTGGCCGTCGTTGCTACATAGAACATGACATCATCAGCCCTAGTGCCCACTGCTGAGCAAAGGCCTCTTCTCACACGGAGAAGGTTTGAGTATTAATCACCATGCTTGTTCAAGGCGGATTTACTACTATAACTCATAACTAAAAATTATAATGATTCCGAATCTGATGTTTTCCTTTAGCGTTTGTTAGTGGTGTCTAAATAATGTCACATTAGTACTTTCCAGGCGAAATTACGGTCGCGATGGTTAGTTTTCTTCCGCGGTCTAAGTCGGATATGCTCGACATTGTCGGTCTAACAGTGCACATCTTTAATTTATTTCTCCAACAAGCCTTTGACCCTCTACAGTAAGGCCGACGTATCTTGGCGATTCTGAAGTTAGCCGATTAGCTGCGCAGTACACAATTTTGTTCCTAAAAGGTCCATTGCGCAGACAAACGGCTAATTCAGACTCGCCAAGATACGTCGGCCGCATTGTACCTACAAAAAACATAATAGATATGCGACTTACCATCACCAAACTCGATTTCGTCTTCCAGATACTCCACATTGGCATTCTCTATCTGTTCCACGGCCTGATCTTCACACTTCATTTGAGTTTGATAGATCAACACTGAAATAAAACGGTTTTTAATTAACTTCTTGGGAAAAATGGGAGAATCTTGTTAAAGAAAAGGTAAAGAGTTAGGGTACGAGAGCCATGCTTCGGCACGAAACCGGCAACGAAACTTGTAACTTCTATAAGCGGTCCATTGCTTACCATCAATGGGTTGCGAGGTAAACACAATAAGGCACGGCGGCCTCGGCTTAGAGTAGGAGAAGGAACGGGGGTGTTTTGTGAGTTTTAGTCAGTAAGAGTCCCTCGGCAGGAGAAGTCATTTGATGATTTTCCCATCACAAAAAAAACATCAAATGCTCTCTTTCCTATGAATGAGCTGAAATTTCAATTCATACCTAGTCTGATCATTTTGGCAGAACAAATCAAGACCTCAGTTAAAAACGTACATTACGAATGGTCACCCACTTTTTCAGGTTCTTTTTTTAAATTTTCTTTACATACAAACTTCCTTGTACTGAATAATTCAAGACCAGCCAAATTGGTAAAGGCATTGTTGATTTATAACATTACAACGAAAAGTTACAATGAATTTTACATACTAAAAACTAATACTCACTCTTAGGCCTAAACTCTCCTCTGCCCATCATATCAATGAATTTCTTCTCCGAATCCATGACTTGCTTCTTGAAGTTACATGCGTCTCGCAGCCTGGTGATGCATACCTCGCAGATGAGGCGGTTCGGACCGTTTGGACCATCATTGTGTTGGGTGATCTGAATTGAGTTGATTATTTAATTTAAAACTTTATTAACAGTGGCATAAAAGTGGAATGATAGGTTTAAACCTTGTTACTGTTTTCACTTTTTTTCTATAAATGTGCAAAGTAAGACTATTACTACAGGTTTTGTTAGAAGCCATGTGTACATTATTTCAACCTTTAATAACAGCTTCAAGGAAATTATGCATGAGATTATCAAGGTAAAAGTTGGTTCTGTACCTAGTCATATATTTTATAAGAAATGTAAACAATAAAACATTCTCATGAAATTTATATGAAGAATTTAATTACATAAGAATAAAAGTTCTAAAATTAAGTATAATGTCAATTACATTCAAATAATTTATTTTTGGCTTAGGAAACTCTCCCGTCAAATTGTCAGCTTTTAATAACATTTATTTTTTAAATACTGTATAGTTTTGTGTTTATAAACAGAGTCCTCCCAGTTTAATAAATGCAAAAGGTTGTAACAAGTACGAAAGAATGGAGGGTTGTTTCTTTTTCACTAAAAAGCTACTCAAAGGTTCTAAATAAAATTTGACACAGAGATAGATTATAGTCTGAAATAACACACTAGTTACTTTTTACTCTAGAAGGTACTGCAGATGCAGACACTGCCAGAACCTGGTTTAACTATATTTATTTAAACTATGCAGAACTAAAGATATAGTGCAAATTCTATTGAGTATGGTCACCATAATATACATTATACACGAAACAGCAATTTTAGACTCTTTAAAAAAAAGGTTCCATACTAAACATGTTTGTGCATTAAACTATAAAATATTTATTTTCTAATATTTTCTATTTATCATGTGTAGAATGTTAACAAAGTGGCTAATAATAAATAACATACAATAACAAAATAATAAGGCATAAGTAAATAACTCAAGATCCAATCACTAATTTTTTTTATGATTTTTAGGTTCTTATTAGGTTTTTATAAAATGTTATGAAAGTATCATATTTTAAAGATTTCAAATTATCTAGATAGAATAAATATTGCGATAATTATTATAGAAAAATACAACAAAATAATATACAAACAAAAAAACATAGATAGATCAATAACATTTTTATAATATTGAATAAAAAGTTTTACTAACTTGGCTTCAAAGAAAATAATATATTTTCTTATTAGATTTTAAACTTACACTAATATCGAAGCATTCAAGAAGCATGTCAGCATAGACTTCAGTTTCATTCATCCAAGTGTATTCTGTGCCCAAGTCTTTGTAACAGCCTTCCGATAGACAGCACCGGCAAAGCCCGGGGCTCTCCTTCACCACAATCTCGTTAAATTCCATCTTTAACACACTATATTACCATTTCCACAAGAAAATTCACAGTTTTTTTACGTTTTCAGTGAAAAATTACATGGCGTCAATAGCGGTAACAAAAATCAATGACGACCAACCGGCAGCCATTTTGATTTTAGTACTGTTTTCTATTGCGTATGTTCTATTTATGTTGAAGGAATTTGTTTTCTTTGTTTGTTGAATTGATTAAAAATATATTGCTTTACTGGTGAATAAAAAATTTATTATGAATATTTTCATTTAATAAAACTGTATTACCAATTACTACCAGCAACTTTGTAAGTAAAGTAGGCTAATCGGTAGAGTGATAGCAATATCTGCCAGTAATGGATATGAGGAATTAGAACGTATTGAAAAATGTTTAACTTATATAAAAATTTTATTCGTGGTTTTTGAAAAAATGAAAAATTTAAAATAATTACCGAAATAATTGGAATTCTACAGTCATAATCCTGCAACCTACACTGGTATCCCCAACTGATAAAAAAAGATAACAAAAAAAACAAGAATTTTTCCCGTCCGTCAGGCCGTCAGTCAAAAATTCCAATTTACGATACATTTTCTAATATGTTCTAAGACAAATACTAATAAAACAGTTTATTCGGATGTAAAATATACAAAAACAATGGAAGTGGTCGGTGTTTGCCGCTGCTGCCTTACCCAAGGGCTGAATAAAGACTTGCATTCCATTTACCATTGGCTGGACAAAAAAGAAATCTACGCAGAAATGCTGTTGGAATGCTTTAATATAGTTGTAAGTTCACAATTTAAATTCTGTACGTAGTATATATTATGTTTAACTCCATATTAAGCTATTTAAAAACGTGATAACATGTTTTTTTTGATAAAAAGCGCGTCACCACTATTAGTGATTGATAACGGATGAAGAATGGAGCTTGCGGTGTGCCTACGACCTGTAATACCGGTCGTGATGATATAACGTACTTTTGGTCTTAAATTATATCTCTAATAGAGCTGATTGATACACTCATGTATCTTTCTTATTAGAAAAAAATATATAAAAATCTAGCATGGATTTTTGTAGATACAATACCGCCAATGTATCTTGGCGAGTCTGAAGTTAGCCGGTTAGCTGCGCAGTGTACAAAAATTTCTTTCCTAAATATCCATTGCACAGACAAACTGCTAACTTCAGACTCGCTAAGATACGTCGGCCGTACTGTACAAGCAATGTTGTATACTTACATTTTTTCAGTCCAAGGTCATAATTTGAAAAGGAGTTTTCAGCCTGTATGTTCAGTTCCAAGGAATAATGCTTAGCAAAATAACTTACCTGCCTCACTATCTTTAGATTTAAAATAAAAATCATAACTAAGAATAAACTGTAGCTCAGTTCATACACATTAGTAAGTCATTATTTTTACTAAAAATTTACTAGCAGACCGGCCCTGCTTCGTACGGGTATACGACTACCATTGTCAGTCATTTGTTTTGCAAGCGAATGACCACATTACCGAAATTGATACCGTTGATTCCCGCTATTCCCCTTTATTTTTCCAAAGTTCTCTTTCGTAAGAACCTTCTCCTTATAATAACGAACATAACAAAAAAAGAGTGTTCAAAATTGCTACAGCTCTTTTTGAGTTATGCACTTACCAACACATTTTGCGATTCATTTTTATATTATAGATATATAAACCATTGTTTTCCAGCTAACACCGTCTAATATAAAGCCGGCTGGTATCTGTGAAGAGTGTATAAAGAGTCTCCGCAGCTGTGTGGACTTCAAACAACAAGTTCTGCAGGCTGATGAGGAGTTCTCCAAGAAGTTACAATCTATGGAAATGGAGGATGAGGATAAAACAAGTGAGATAATGATTTCCTTAAGTTATTTATTAGAACAATTCCACAACACAACATCTTTCCCTGTTTTTTTAACAGGGAAAATCATCAAATCACTTCTCTCGTCGAAGGTGACGTGAGAGGGAGAGTTAGACTCTTACTGACTAAAAGCTCCCTCTTTTACTGCTTCTAGCTGAGGCCACATTACCTTATTGCGTTTGACCTGCAACCTGTTGAACATCGGCCCTGTTTGGCCCCAACTGTAGTGGTCTATTGGCTATCTCTCCATGTTTGAATATTCTCCTGTAGTCTAGAAGTGGTTCTATTTTTGAAAGACATTAGGCATCAGACTGTTACTGACTAAAAAGCACCCTGTTCCTTCTCCTGCCTAGAGCTGGAGCCTGGCTGACATAGTTCTACACCTATTTTTTTTTAACAAGCGTTTCATTTTGTTTCAAAAAGTCAGATGTTTCATTGATATCTGGGATGGGAATTTTTTTAAAATTGAAAATCATCGTATTTACTTCTCCCACCCTCAAAGGGACGAGAGAAAAAATATGTTTTGTTATTGCTTACTATTGTTGTAAGTAATACCAGACCTATAATACAATTTTATTTTTAATTTCAGGCACAAAAATTGTTGAAGTAAAAGTCGAACCGAAGGTGGAGTGCGATGATGATGATGATTCAGACGATTACTATTTAGCTGATGCTGGTAAGTATTGCTTAACATTCTACACCCCTCACCTTCCTTTTTCTGTGAGTTACAAGACCTGAGTAAGTGACTACAAGTAATAAGGACAGGGAACCAAACATCTCTGATAAAACTGAACCTTTTAAACTGTTTGAAAAACATCCAGTGACTTCTTCCGCCTCGGGTGAGGTGTATTGGAGTGTCATACTCCTATTGACTTGGTTTAAACCATCCCGTTCAAACCTTCGCCCGCCACGATTAATCTTAATAAATGTAGGAGAGTCATGCTCCGAAACGAGTGGGCTAGTTGTCCTTTTTCCCCTCCTCCCCCCACCCAAGTCCAAATACAGTCAAATTTAAAATACTTTATTCTAACTAAACCATAAATAGGTACTTTTGAAACAACAAAATAGAATAGTTCCTACTCTCCTACATAATCCTCAAACTTCTAACAACCATAAAAGACCGGCAACGCACTTTAACTCGTGTGGTGATGCAGGTGTCCTCAGCCGGCGCCGATTGCTTACCATCAGACCTTTGCCAACCTATTCCAAAACAAACCAGTTGGTATCTCTGGCCTGCCATTCCATTTTTGTAGAGTGTACAATAAACCCACCATAAAACTGTCTAAACCTATTGATGATGTATGAAATAAAAAATAATATGCCATATTTTTTCAGTACGCAATTCACCACCGAACAAGATTGAAAGTGAGAGTGTGCCTGTGAAGAAGAAAACGGAGACGAAACGCGCCAAACCCAAGTCCAGCCCTAAAAAGACAAAAGCGACATCTGAAGGCGCGTGGAAGAACGACAAGATTAAGTCTCTTGTATCTAGACTTGCTACTTCTATCAGTGAGTTTGTTTATTTTTTTATTTAAGCACAACCAACAGAGCAAGCTCTAGAAAATACATGGACTCGGAAATTATATTTGGCGGCTGTAGGGGCAGTCTAATAACTTATGACAGTTATATTAAATGAATAAAAATTACATCAATTACATCTTATTGGTCTTCATAAGTCTAAGTTACCAAAGGATGCATATGCGAAAGTCAATCGTGGCGCAATCCCATAGTACATGAAAAAACGGTGTCATCTTCGAGCCACACGAGGCGCAGCGATAATGCAATTGATGGGTCGTACAACATTTGCGATATACCGCGGCTACGCCTACGTAACACGCATAATAACATTTTTTATAATAAACATAGGAGATAATAGATATGTTAATGTAATCACCACATAGTATAAAATAAAATCGCTTTCTCTATCCCTATGTCCCTATATCCCTATGTATGCTTAAATCTCTACGGTATAAAACTAATCTAACTGTCTACTATGTAACCCTAGAAGAAAACTTTTTTTTTTTTTTTTTTTCTTTCTTGAATGGCAACCGAGTCTCCAATTTAATGTTGTCGACTATACTGCCAGTGTCAAGTAGTGACGGCAGATTTATGGGCCCGTCGAACTTTAACTTTGTGGTAGTCTGTTGTTAGTAACTGAAAGGACAACACATGGGTTAGTAAAACTATATCTACTTATTTTATACTTTTCTACTTTACATTATATAATAAAGATAAATAAGAGGACATACACAACTGACATATACGTATATACCATAATTATAATATTACACACCATCACAGTTTAATATCATTATCATTAATAAATTTTGATAGACATTTAATTAATTTATAAGAAAAGTGAGTTAAGAGGGAGTGGAAACTGATTGGAAGGGGGATTTCTAAATTTGGGAGTTTTTTGTAGAGGTCAAAGGATTGGGAGTTTAAGGGGCAAGAAAAGAATATATGGTCCAAGGTACCCTCATCAAGACCACATTCGCACAGCGAACTGTCACGAACATGGATCTTTTTGAGGAATACTGGACTGCTACAATGGCCAAGTCTGAGCCTGCACAAGGTCGTAATAGTGTGTCGGGGGAGTTTGGTATATTTGCAAAACCAAGGCTTCCGCTGGACGTCGGGCTGGATATTAGCGTAATGGACACCTTTCCGTTTGGAAGAGTCCACCCACACAGCAGCCCAAGATTTAAAAAGCTTGTGTTTTGTGTCCGCTCGTATATCATACCCGTACACAACGTTATGTTGGTGTTCCACATTATTCGAGGCCGCAAACTTTGCCAACGTATCCGCACATTCATTACCACTTATGCCAGAGTGCCCAGGAATCCAAGCGATTTCTATTTTTAAGCCATCCTCGTGACACGCAAGAAGTAGAGCTTTAATTTCTATGATTAAACTACTATAGGTTCTGGAGTGAAGCTGGTCTTGGCCAAGAGCTTGAAGACTGCTTCTAGAATCTGAGAAGATGACTGAATTCTTCAAGTTGTGAGCTCTGATAAACTTTATGGACTCCAGAATAGCAGCACATTCCCCAGTAAATACAGAAGCCTCAGAGGGATATTTGGCTAACAAAGCAATCCTTGAGTTCTGATAATATGCTGCTACTCCTGTGCATCCCTCAGGAGTCAGTTTAGAAGCATCTGTGTAGAACAAATTCCAGTCACTCCAGAAATTGCTCAACGCGCGTTTGAATTTCTTGTTGGCGTTCGCTGATGATTTTGCAATGCCTAGTTCCAAGACAATGCTTG